ATGGAATAATGAAACAAGATTAAATAGAATTAGGAATTAATATAATTCCCTTTAATTAAATATTCTAGGCAGTGCTGACTAATTAGGCTACATTTTGTTTAAACATAATATTTATTAAAATAAGATAGAATTTTAATTATTTTGGAGCATTTATTTTGGAAGATAAACTATATTATAATAGATAAGTGATGGCAAATAAATTTTCTATTTGCAAATATAGTATTGTAGATAGTCTCAAACTCATTTGAATTTAGATGATTTTTCAAAACAGCCATGTATGTGTTTAAAGAATGAATATATTAAACAATAGATGATTTTTCAAAACAGCCATGTATGTGTACAAAGAATGAATATATTAAACAAAGTCAAAAGCTAGCTGCCGATTTCAGAATTTATGATAGAAGATATCTTTGATGTAATCATATTAGAGTTTGAAAAGTTGATGTCTCATTTAGCTATCATGTTTCTTCACGTTGGCATGCATTGGATAACAAACCAACTCTCTATTTTCTTTTTGATAACAACAAAAAGGCCTATTACAAATCAAGTAAAAATCTTTTGGTTAGGATAAGACCTATCTTCTACTCTAGTCTACACCTATAAATAGTAGGCTAGAATCCCACATTTTACCACACCAAAAATTCACACGTGAAATAGAGAAAGAGAAATATAAAAGAGAGAGAGAGAGAGAGAGAAAGGAGAGAACAAGGAAGACAGAAAGCAGCATTAGAAATAGAATTTCATACATCGAGTATTTTAATCACATACTTTCAAAGCGGAGGAACGATTTTCAACATATTGTAGATTCAACGAGGTAAAATACATTTATGTGCAAAGTGTTTACGTTTCCTTATGCTCTTATATGCGATTAAATATGCATGGAATGCTAGTGGCCTTCAGGTTCTAGAGAAAGAGATATGAAATTCCTACATGGAAATTAAGAGGACCTAAGATGGATGTGTCGCTTGGCCACCGATATACTCCATAAGAAAAGAGCGGTATGAAGTGTAGATTTTATTTGTTATGTAATTGTATATGGAAATTTGCACGTATCTTACTGGGTATTTTTAATACTCACTCTTACAAAGTGGATAAAGAATAGAGAAAAAGAAATAAGTTTGCCATTTTAAATTTAGCAATTTGTCTATTTTAATTTAGAACGCATTATTTGAATTACTTAGGAGTTTATGTTTATGATTAGATACGCTTTCAATAATTTTAATTTAAACGTTACAATTATTTGTTTATTGAAGAATTTTATATAGTTCCGCATTTTT